ATAAGGAGGATAACAATATTATTATTTATTTCTGTAGTATATTCAACATGCAAAATATTTTCGATTCTGGACATATTCACATTCACAGCAAGTTATGAAAAAGCCCCTACGATATAATAATCCTATGCTTTTTTCCCCAGAATTAAATCTCACTGAGTTCAGTGAAGTTTTCTTTACTCCTAAATAAATATACAGTGTCTTTAGAAAATGGAAAACAAGCCTGAAAGCCTCACCGCAGATAAGTTGCAGGAATCTAAAGACTGGGACCATGAACAATGCCTCTCTGATCTAACAGCCCTGCAGTTTACATCACCATTTTTCTGAATTTTATAACCTTTTGTTGACTTATTCCTTCTACTTGGAATATCTTTAAATGGATTATTAATTTCTCTTTTATATAATGAATGAGATTCCTGTTGACTTCCTAATATATGGAATTCCTAAGTTCCTAATCATCAGACCAAATAAGAGTTTCAGTCCTTGGGATTGATTTTCCCCAAGCTGATATCCCTTCCCCACCATGTGATGGGCTATAGTTCACACTGACTCTGCTGTCTATCAGACGACAGAGTTGCATTGTAAAGAAAATCAAGTAACGGAAGGCCATGAACAAATTAATATCAGAAATAGACTGCTGTTGCAAAAGTACATGCAAAAGTATGTACGATGGCTACGCTGTACTTTGGAGCTGAGTGCAAAAAGGTGCTTCGCGAAGCATCAAGATTCCACTGAACAGAGGACACTCATAAATTACTAGCGATGATGTAATCTGGGCCTTTAGTCTGCCTTTACGTTGAAGGAGGTGACCATCTCAGGCAGCTGATTTGGGATCTCTTAAGAAGTTACAAATTGCATTTTCAGGGGGAAGCATGCAGATCTTTCAACTGGAGCATAAAATGTCTTGAGCAGGCTGGAATGTAATTTCATTTATTGCAATGCAACCATATTGATAGAAGTGATCTGTCATTTATATATATGTGGTAATTTGGTGTCTAACTGAAAAAATGCAAGGTTTTTGTTTTTAAATGCAGCACAATTTTTATAAAAATGTCTAAATATCGGTGAACATGTAGCTAGGAGGAAAACTATCTGGACACTGCAACAAGCAATGAAGATACTCAGTGCTCACAAAGTTTGACTAGTGTTATGAAAAAACAGGAAATGAGATATATAAAATGGAGTAACTTGGCTGAAATTCTAAACAAAAGCACTTCATATTGCAGTGTTTTGTAGATCCCTTTTGTGTTGCATACATTCAAACTTTTATATGGAAGAACTATATACTCAGAATTTTACCTTTAAATGCCAGTGATGGGGTTCCTTCTCTCAGTTGGACAGTAGTGGGCACTAAATACATAATGCTGTAAAAATTGTGAACGGCTTACAAGGTAAATGGGCTTCTTCCAATGGAAGCATGGGATGAGTTGACCCACTGCATGTTCACTAACTCTGTACTTCTTGCAAGACTATCAAGCATAAGAACCACAATACTTTACCACACAAAACAGTTTATTGAAACTGTTTTTGGGGTTAGGAAGCAAACTGCTTAGTTGACCCTAGGGTTATTATATCCAGACTGCAAAACTCTGGGCAGGCACGGAAGCAAAGAAAGGCATGAGAAGGAGAGTGCTGGTGAAAGCCAGAGAAAGCCTGGTGGCCTTTGATGCACAGGCTGATCTTTTAAAAGGAGCCAAGGAAAAAAGAAAAACCATTGAATGTACTCCTCGTTAGAACTGAGAGGTTTCCATTTCAAAACATGTTGGATGTAGTCCCTGAGCATCTGCTAGCCAGGGCCTTGATACTTCAGTGACTAGTGTGTTAGGTAACAAATTTTATTGACTTGACTTGAATAGCTGCCCATCTCACATATGTGACTCTGGGCAACTCACAACAGGTAAAAACAACAACAACAACAAAAATATTAATAAATGCAGCAAACATACAGCTTCACTAAAACCACTATTAAAAACTCAAACACAAAACAATCACAGTCAGCAGATGAATACTAATCATACATCCCATTCAGTATAACCATTGACAAGGCTCACCACTACTAACAGACCCCCAAGCGTGGGGGCACAGCCATTTCTTTGGGCTCATCCTAAAGGCTGGAAGGGTAGGGCCCAATCTGAGCTTTGAGGGAATGATGTTCTAAAGGGCAGGTGCCACGGCAGAAAAGGCTCTCCTCCTGGTCCCATCAGAGGATATTCCTTAATAGATGGGACCCATAACACGCCTCTCCTGCTGGATCTGATGGGACAGGTAGATGTAACTGAGGAGAGATGGTCCCTCAAATATCCCAGTC